TTCTTCTTCTTTTTTAACATAAGTCTTTACTAACTCTTTCTTCTATAATTGCTTAACTTGCAAAATTTTATTTTATGGGTTTTTTATTATCCCTTTCTCATTTCCAACTTCCTGTTATTTTTTTATGTTCAAGTTCTATTCTTTAACTTATATTATAAACCATTTTTATATATTAATATAAGTGCTCAAATCAAAGTTACCAAAAGAAAGTGATTTGAATGAGATTTTAGTACAATTAAATGTATATTTTCAAATGTATGTATTAGTAATATTAGATATATATACAATTTAGAAGGAATATGAAGTAGAATTTATATCTAAAATGATTGAAAAGTTAATAATATTATAATATGAATAAAATAAGAAACATAAAATCTTCTTGAAAGAAAATATACATCTTCATATGACTTGATTTCTACAAATTCATACATTTTTTTATTCAATTCAATATATGAATCAACACTTTCATTGTTCCAATCAACCTTAATCCCATAAGTAAAGTTCTCTCCTTAAAAAAAAAAAAAAAAAAAAAAAAAATTCAAACCATTAAAAACCTATAATGAAAATAATGCATAAATTTTAAACATATAAAATTACAAAATTCTTTTAAAAGAACAACCATCATATATTTTATAAAAAATTCATAAAAAAAGAATAATAAGACTATTTTTCATACAACAATATATAGTTTTTGGATAAAGAGGAAAACAGACAAATAAAATAAAAAATAATACTATATTTAGTTATAATATGAAGTAGGAAACAAAAAGATAAATAATATTTAGAACTCATTATGTTAGCAAAAAGAAATTAAGAGATGAAAAGGAGAATATGATATATTGGTGTAGAGAAAAGTGAGAGTTTATATATAGTGGGTAGAAAGATGGAAGGGCATAAAGATAGAATATTTAGTATTTAATTAATGCAATCTTTTATTTTATAATAAAATGTATATTTTTTTAATATTAAAATAAAAATGATAATATTTAGTGTCTAATCAATGTACTATAAGGTAAAATGGAACTCCCCAACTATTTATTAATATGAATTTCACCCTACATATTTTTTTTTATTTTGAAGTAATTTATTATGTAATTGTTAAATAGTTAAATTCATCCCTATTTAATGCATAGGATAGCATTTTACATATATAGATAGATAGATAGATAGATAGATAGATAGATAGATTTATAATTGTCATATTATTAATTTTTTTTTACTTTCTTTACATTAAGTTTTAAAACAATTAGAATAATAGTTATAACTCATAACTTTATTATTGAGAATAAACACAAAACCCAAGATAAATAATAATTTGATTCAGAATGGTGTAATTTCATATGAAAGAAAATAAATCGTTTATTCATGAATAATGTATTTAATAATTACATAATAACTATATAATAAATAATAAATAAATATATTATTATATATTTACATTATATATTAAAGTTATATAAATGTATATCGTATTTAATATATAGGATAGCATTTTATAT